TTAAGCTCAGCAGGACACGGACAGTTGGAACCACATATATAAAAGTTTCTTGATTCTGGCTTTTGACCAGCAGTTTCTGTTTTGAAACTTTTTATTTTTCCTTCTAATATATTACTTATAGTTTCTTGGTAAAGGCTGAGTTATTTGCATTATGATAATGACAGTGGCTTTACAGATACTTTGTTAGTGTACTTAAGTAGAATTTTAAAGTATCTGTGCTTTACTTGAGTGTTTGTATTTCTGACAACTTTTTCCTTTTAATCCCAACATTTTTAAACAAATATCTGTACTTTCTAGTACTTATATTCTCAAAACAGACTTAAGTTCATCTATAGCTGTCATGGTCCCTGTGTCTACCCGGTCAGCTCAGGTGGGCCACATGTTTTTGCTGTTTCTTATTGCAGTTATTCCCTTCTCTCCTTAAACACAGAGATACTTGAGCTGTTCATTTTTTTAAAAACATCTCTCTCTTTTGGCATTTAGTCCTCCCTTTGTACCGATGTAAAAGACAGAATATTAATCTCTCACTTTAACGATCTATTTATATTTATTGAAAGGCCTCCAGCACCATGAAAGGTTGAACACAGTTAATGTTGTGGCTGAACTGGATTTCACTCTGAATTAAAGTCCGTGTGGGTCTTGCAGGAAATCAGAGTGGGAAAAATGGGAAAACAAATGTATTGCATTTTTTTCATAATCTCTTTAAAGCCGTTATCATTGTTGTTTTGTTTTGTTTGCTTTCACCGGAGCGGGTAAACGAGTCTACAAAGTTTAAAAAAACAGATTTACATTTATTGTTTATGACTTTTATTGGACATCAACCGATCTCATTTATACACATTTAAGATATAACATGGAAAATATCCTTTTGTTTCCATATGGAGACTCGGCATTTGACCCATCCTAAATATTTGGACCAGCCAGCATTAAGAACCACCTCCTCGAGCCAGTAAAAAGGTCAAGGACACAGTTACACGATCGCCAAACTAACCGGTTTTTGGATAAAAGAAAACCATGTAACCAGGAGGAATATGAGCCCAGGAATCTCGGTTAAAAAAAGCACTAACTACTGCACATTACTTTCTTATGTCTACTATATAGGAGTTGCTGCTTACACCCTGAGTTACACAATGAGTCTTTCAGATGTCCCACATGGATTGTCCGTGGCACGCGTAGTCCTGCTGGACACCACATGGTCTTATTTTTATTAGCCCTCGACTCAGCTGCAACGTGCTTACAGTTAGTTACGGGGTCAGTTTCCTTTTCATCAGAATTATCTGCTGTCATCCAGACATAAGCTGAGCAATCGTTTAACCAATTTCCCATCAAACCATAAAGATTGATGGAAAGTCACAGAACCATTGCTTGCATGTGTGCTGATAAAATGTTTTTTCCATATTAGGTTTTAGCTTCTCTTGCATGCATAAGATGTGGGGGCTGGTCTCTTTGCTGTAATTTTCCATTGCACATAAGAAACCACAAGTTCCTGTTTTATACGTTTAGCTATACCGCTCACTTCTGCTTTGTTGGTTCATTGAAAGGTCACGCCATATATGGTGTGACTGGAGATGTCGTTCAGAGGTCACGCCATATGTGGTGTGATAGGAAACGTCATACACACACACTCACTTGCTCACGTACGCGCGCCTTAACTGTCACATAACTAACGAGATGTTTTTATAACTGCTGTTGTCAATAAAAGAGGCAACAAGTCAGGTTGGAAGTTGGCTGAGATCAGGTGACGAGCTTACAACTCTGAGACCCTGACTGGACAGCTTTGCTGCAAGTAAAAAGACAAAGAGCGCTGTGTGGTCTTGCTTTGTTCACACGGATCGGTCTCTGAGTCAGCGGGGTTTGTTTTAGAACCAGCAAACCATGGTGGCCCCTAGAGACAAAGCACGTACAAAACTCCAAAACACTTACAAACTCTGAAGCGCGTACAAACCGTAACAAATATGAATAGAAAAAAAAATTTTCCAGCCTGACTGACCTCCGAGATGTCCGGCTAACCTTCACACCACGTGCCCCTCTGGACCTACTGGTCGCTCCTTCCTCGCCAGACCGCCGTTACAATGT